ATTTGTGCTGAGGTCTTTATATCGTTGCGCTGAGGTGCCATCATGTTTCCTCTTGATCCTGTTGCTTAATACTTGCCTTGTTACCCCTTGCCCAGAGAGCTGCTGATTCTAGCACCTTGCAGCAAGTGAGTTTCCATTGTTTGCATATCAATTGAGTTAACAAATTCAAGCATGGTGTAGCTAGCAGTGGAGTCAGGAGCCAGAAAGAAGATTCACAACTTTGTCCTCAGCTTATTCACCCTGAGACACATTTGGTGAGGTGCTTTTCTCTGGTATGTACTGTGTATTGTTTTCAATTGTTTTTTAATCCAAGATATATGTCTACATGTTACTGTGGTGATTACAAAAACACAAAGTTATGGTGAAGGTGAAGGGGTGGTAAATGGGGATATAACTGCAGACCTCCTAACCAGGAGGAAGAGCTTGACCACAAATTCACTAGGGAACTGGCAGAGGCTACATGCTCTCGGTGCATGGTCGTCATGGGTGACTTCAACCACCCTGACATCTCATGGGAAGAGCATTCAGTCAAATCTGATCGGCCATGAAAATTCCTCACTTGCATTGATGAGCTCTATCTGACTCACGAAGTCTACAGGCTGACAAGGGGTAAGGCACTGCTGGATCTGGTTCTAACCAAAGGGGATGATCTAGTGAGTGACCTGAGAATCCAAGGGAAGCTTGGTGACAGTGATCACAAGCTGATCACTTTCTCTATCCATCACAAAGCTGGCAAATCAGTCAGCAATGCAGAAATCCTTGACTTTAGGAAAGCTGACTTTCACAAGCTCAGGAGGTTGGTTGTGAAGGCCCTGAGAAATCAATATCTGACAAGGAGGGGAGTCCATGATGGGTGGTTGCTCCTTAAGGACGTGATCCTAAAAGCACAAGGGAAGTCCATTTCAGCCCATAGGAAAGGTAGTAAAAGGGCTGGGAGACCCTCTTGACTCAATTAGGGAACTCATGGACCTCCTTAATCTTAAAAGAGAAGCTTATAAGGGTTGGAAGATGGGAAATACTTCTAAGGATGATTATGTATCACTGTCCCACACCTGTAGGGAGTGGACCAGAAAAGCCAAGGGTGAAACTGAGCTCAAACTGGCTACAGGAACCAAGGACAATGAAAAGTCATTCTTCAGCTATGTGGGAAGTCAAAAGAAAAATAAGGGCAACATTGGAACCCTGCTGAATCAAACACTGAACCAAACGGGGCAACCAACAACTGACACCCAGGAAAAAGCTAATCTCAGTTAATACTTCACATCGGCTTTCCAGCAGCCCAAAGGGATCACCCCACCTGACAGGACACAGGATTACCAGGGTAAGGGCGACCATATGCCTACAATTGGTGAAAACCTTGTAAAGGAAAACCTTGAGAGGCTGGACATCCACAGGTCAGCAGGCCTGAATGGAATGCACCCAAGAGTGCTAAAAGAGTTGGCTGACATCACAGCATGCCCAATGGCAAGGATATCTGAGAACTTGTGGCACTTGGGAGAGGTTCCTAAAGATTGGAAGAGGGCCAACATGGTGCCTATCTTCAAGAAGGGAAGGAAGGAAGACTCAGGGTACTACAGGTCAATCAGTTTGACCTCAATCCCTGGAAAGATCTTGGAAAAAAATATTAAAGAATCCATCAACAACAGGCTAACGGAAGACATCATTCTGAGAGATAGCCAACATGGCTTCGTTACGGGTACGTCATGCCTGACCAACCTCATTTCCTTCTATGACCAGGTGACATGTCACCTGGACAGGGGAAGAGAGACTTCATTTACTTGGATTTCAAAAAAGCCTTTCACTTGGTCTCTCATGATGTCCATAATGGTAAAATTGGGAAGCTGTGGCCTCAACAACCCTACAGTCCAATGGCTGGGGAACTGGCTCTGTGGTCAGACCCAGAGAGTGATTGTCAATGGAACTGGGCCAACATGACTCATGGTGACTAGTGGCATCCTCAAGGGTTCAGTTCTTGGACCTGTACTCTTTCATATATTCATAATCTAGATTCGCGTGTTGGAAACAGACTGGCTAAGTTAGCAGGTGGCCTCAACAACCCTACAGTCCAATGGCTGGGGAACTGGCTCTGTGGTCAGACCCAGAGAGTGATTGTCAATGGAACTGGGCCAACATGACTCATGGTGACTAGTGGCATCCTCAAGGGTTCAGTTCTTGGACCTGTACTCTTTCATATATTCATAATCTAGATTCGCGTGTTGGAAACAGACTGGCTAAGTTAGCAGGTGACATCAAATTATGGGGAAGCGCAGTCACACTAGAGGATAGGCTGGGGATTCAGGCCGACCTGGCCAGGCTTGCAAGGTGAGCAGATCAAAACCTGATGACATTCAACATAGAGAAATGCAAGGTACTCCACCTCAGGAGAAAGAACCCACATCATATCTATAGGCTCGGCATTGCTACACTCATTAGTACCATGACCAAAAGAAACTTGTGAGTTATGATTGACCACAAGATGAATATGAGCCACCAGTGTGATGCCACAGCTAGAAAAGCAAATAAAACCCTGGCTTGCATCCACTGATGCATCTCAAGCAAGACCCAAGATGTCATCCTCCCACTTTATTTGGCCTTGGTGAGGCCACAGCTGGAGTACTGTATCCAGTTCTGGGCTCTACACTTTAAAAAGGATGTGGAGAAGCTTGAGAGAGTCCAGAGGAGAGCTAAGCACATGATCAGAGGTCAAGAGAGCAGACCTTATGAGGAGAAGCTCAGAGGCATGGGACTCTTCAGCCTGGAGAAGCATAGGCTCAGGGTGGACTTGGTGCAGCCTATAAGTACATAAGTGGGGTGCATCAGGAACTGGGAGAACGTCTGCTCACCAGGGCACCCCAAGGGAAGACAAGGTCGAACGGTCACAAACTGCTGGAAGACCGTTTTAGACTGGACATAAGAAAAAACTTCTTTACCGTCCAAGTCTCCAGAGTCTGGAATAGACTTCCCCCAGAAGTGGAGCAAGCACCTACTCTGGACATGTTCAAGAAATGTTTGGATGATTATGTTGTTGGGGTCATCTCACCCCAGTGTGCTGGACCCAGTTAATGTGTGAGGTCCCTTCCAGCTCTAAAGTCTATGAAATCTATTAAATCATTAAGATACTTAAATGTGTATGGAACTGATCAATTTTTAAAGGCACATTAGATTTTTTTTTTTTTCCTCTCCAGCATTATGTCACTATGGAACAGAGTTAAGGTTTCTGCTGAAGAGGAACTTTTCAGTTTTGAAACATGCTGGGAAAATGTATAAATTAATCCTCAAAAATTTGTATTCAAATGCAGTAAGATTTAACTGGAAATGCTGAAGAGTCTTTGACAGAGCACAATCATGTTTCTTTGACTGCCCTGCCTGTCACTCTCCATATATTTTAACAAGTTTGGTTTCTTTGAAGTTTTAACCTTAACTCCAAATAATTAGAACCCCATAAAGTGTTTTATCCTAAAAGACTGATGTATATGCTGAAGCTTAACTCTAACATAAGTTAGCTTTTATCTAGGAATGTTACTAAAAATGTGAATTCCTTGTGTATAAATTTTGAAGAATCTACAGGTCATACTTTTAGCCAACAGAGAATGTCCAAAACCAGTCAGGCTTGGTAAGTAAAAATCTAAAAAATATAATCTTTTTTAAAAGTTATATGTTTATTTCATTTTGATTCAACACTCCTACTTAAATAAAACATGTGAGATTTATTTTTTCGAAGTAGTTAAAAAAAAAGTGATTCAGGAGCAGAATTAAAAGATTGCAAAGGTCCCATGAAAGGAAGATTGTGATGCAAACTGAAGTGTGGAACTTGTGTTGGCATTTCCACATAATCTGATCTATTTTATACAATTATTCCTGATTTCTTCCAATGAAATGTGTGACCAACGTGTCAATGACTTTTAATTACATGATCCATGGGAAAATTGTCATGCCATTATTAATATAATTTAGGACAAAAAATCATATCCTATGAACTAGTACATTTCTTAAACCACCTGTTGTTTATTAATGTTGACTCATTCTAATATTATAAAAGCCTTAATCTGTCTGTCTGTCTGACAAATAGCCAATCAGTGTGAAGAAGCATTCAGACAGGTGGCAACATGCAGCCATGATGGTGGGGACACAGAGGACGGAGCGGCCCGCCCTGCTCCCTGGAGGTGATGGCAAGGGAGTGGATGGAATGTGGGGGGCGAGGCCAGCAGCACTGGCCTTGCCCCCCCGCCCTGCTCCCTGCAGGTGGCAACGATGGAGCGGGGGTGGGGGGTGAGGCCCCAAGAGCTGGCCTCACCACCCCCCTTGCTCCTTGGAGGTGATGGCGGCAGCACAAGGGGGCGCAATGTTGGGACACCATGGTGGGGCAAGGCCACCGGCACTGACCTTGATCTGCCCCTCTCCCCTTCCGTCATCACCACCTGCTGGGCTGACCCAGCGGTGGTGGGGGAAGAAGCGGGCCCAGCGTGGGGGGGAGGGGAAGGAGCAGGCACACCGCAGCGGTGGCAGTGGGAGAAGGGGAGGAGTGGACTCAGGCCCAATGTAGGTGGTGGGGAGCAGCCCCAATGCAAGGGGGGAGCAGGCCTGCTGCAGCGGTGGTGGGGAGCAGCGGGCCTGGCCCAACACAGCCTGACGCAGCAGCAGCTGTGGGAGGGGAAGAGCAGGTCTCCTCCCCCACTTGGTCCTGGACCCACTCCTCCCCTACCTCCCCTCCCCTGCGTCGGCCCTGAGCCCACTTCTCCCATCCCTCCACCACCACTGGGTCAGCCCAGACCCGCTGCTCCCCACCCTGCCACCCTCAGGCCCGGTCCTCCCCTGCTGATCAGGCCTAGGCCCGGTCCTCCCCTCCCCCCGCCGCTGTGGTGGGGAGTTGGGGGGATCAGGCCCAGACCCCAAGCAGCAGGAGGGAAGGGAGTGGGCCTAGATGGGGTGGAGGGGGGGGAGGTGCATGGGGTTGCATCCCTGCCTGCTCCTCCCCCCCCCCCGGCATGCTTGATGGGCAATTGGCTAGTAAACTAATAAAAAAAATAATTTTATATTCTTAGGAAATTAATAGAATTTTCACAGAGCTTAAAGAACAATTCAGTTCCCTAGTCTGATCTTCTAGGCTATTAAGTTTCACCTAGTCATGCTAGTAGAGATCCCAGAGACTTGCGTTTGATTATTTCGCAGGGCACTAAGATGTGCCTGCTCCTTTAAGGGCAGAAGCAGCCTGGCCAGGGAGGCCTGCAGGCTAGGCAGAGCTCCATGGTTGTAGGTTGTCCGGGCAACAGGCTAATGGGTAATTAGCTGGCATCTGCAGGTGATCAGATGACTGGAAAGCACTAGGGCCCTGGGAACATATAAGCTCAGGGCTGGGGCTAGGAGAGCTCACTCTCTCTGGAGACTGCCAGGGGAAGGAGCCCCTGCCTAAGAGAGCTGCTCAGAGGCATTTGGTTGCCTGCTCTGCTGCCTACACGGACAGTAAGGCTCCAAGAACCTGCAGGGTGCCCAGGCTAGGAACCCTGCTGTCCTAGGGGTGGAAGTTTGCCTTAAAAGAGCAAAGCACAGTTTTAATTGCTTTTGATACATTATAGCCCAGGGGCTTATGTTTGTGTTGTTGTACTGAAGGTTTGGGAGGAAGCTGTAAGTAGAGGTTCAGAGGCCTGATTAGTGCATAGAAGGGCGCAGCAGAGACAAGGGCTGGAGGGCCCAGTGAAAGAAAGAGATCAATTGAAGCTAGTGCCTTGGCTTAGTAGGCTGAGGCACCAATAGAGGGAATAAGATCCATGTAACAACCATGAGGCATGGTTAAGGGAAGGTTTGGAGCCACGCAACCAGCCCATAAGGCTTGAGGTGCCCCGTACAGTACAGTACTGAAGAGAGGTCCGGCAAAGGGATCAGGACCAGTGAGCTGGTGAAGTTCAGCAGACCAGGGCCATGCAAAGGACCATGGACAGCCTCCCAATTGATCTTACCAGCAAGACATGGCAAGTGAGACAAGAGGGCACCCTCAGGGTGGAGCTGGCAGTCATGGAGCTGCCAGAGGCATCATGGCCACCCACGGGGACACCGCCCTGTGACAGACTAAAGCAGTCTTAATTTAAAACTTGCAAGATGGAAAATTGACTGTTTCCCTTTGGTTGGTTGTTAAATATGTGTGCATATTTTGTTATGCAAGGAATAAATGCTACATTTGTGTGAAAAGGGCACACACTTCCTCATGTACAACAATGTTGAATACGTGATTTATAAGAACTCAGAATTCAGCTTTTTCTATGGAGCCATCACTGGCACCTCTATATAAAGGTGTGATGTGCTGAATTTTTCCGGTGTCCAGTGATGTCTGTTACATCAGGACTCAGGCTACATATCCATCTCCTCTAGTGGTTACTGTTGCATTTTTTTTCATTTAAAAAAGAGCAAATAAAACGTTCCTGACCAAAGCCTGTGACAGAACTAAACCAAGCAGCAGTAACACACACAAATGGAGATATCTAGAATGGGGGCCAGGGAAGCTGACCTGCATTACTTTGTAAGAAAAGATGATTGATCTGCCTCTTACAGATAGCTGTCAATAAAGCTATCACACGATAACCCCTGAAGCTCAATGACTTTTGATCATACAGCTGCTTTTTCACAGAGCAATTTCTTCTGCAGACATCTCTCCAAATGATGAGGCAGATTGTCCAACTTGGAACCATGATTTTCTTTTTTTATCAGTAAGTGGGAGGCCCTGTGTTTCTTCCTTCAGCAGGCTGCTGCCGCTGCCACTGATGCATTCTGGATTCTTTGAAGACACAGAGGTTTAGCATCTACTTCAGTGTTGTTCTTCCTGTAGGCCTGACTCACACAGTGATTTTGTCATGCCACTTTGATGTGGATAATATAAAAGCTAGATTACTAGAGCTGCACACTGGAGGGCTGTCTTCTGTGAAGCTTCCATGCAAGTTATAGAGGAGAGATAATGATCTGAAAGAAAGGGGATGGGGGAACTGGCAACAGAGATACATACGTGTGATGTGCAATTCCTCAGCAGAAAAGATGGCTGCAAGGTTTGGTTAAGCAACTTCATCCAAGTAGTTTTACAAAAGGTCAAAGGCTTCTCGGTAAGCAGTTTTGTCTCCTTTTTTTCTTCAGCACTTACACAAACAACATGCATTTAAAAATAGGTTAAACTTGCAAATAAATATCTAACCATCAGACAAATGTAACACGTGGCAGTAGGGGAAGGAGATAACTGCAAGCTGCAGAATTGGTTGAGGATATGAACTGATGATCAACGTCAGGCTGAATCTGAGAACCAAGAATAACCACTTCACCAGAGACCACCTTTTACTACCTCTCTTTGAAAATGGCTAGATTTTTCTGGAATCTAGCAATTAAACTCCAAAATCCAGCAAAAAAAATTACAGATCCCTGAAATCCCCAATGTCCCTGTGTTGTTCCTTCTTACTTTAAAACACAAACTACAAACTTTACAACTCTTCAAAATCTTGTCTTGCTTGCTGAAGTGTATTAAGGAAATATATGGGGATAAAGGATGCTTTCATTCCAATACATTCCTTCTTCTGTATAACCTGATTTATTGCACAATGCATCCATTATTTTTATTTTGAAAATGTGTTCAGTATTTCATTTTGTGAGATAAATATTCAGTTGACTACCATGAAAGTATTGTATGAAGGATCAAGGTATGATAAAGAAACTTTTCAAAGGGTCCCTCAGTTGGATTTTCACTGAACTTTGTGGACGGTGCCTAATGCAAGGCTGGGGAGGGGCCAGGAGGAGACTGTGCTGAGCAGCCATTCCAAGAGATACAAACTGAGTTCAGAGGGTTGCAGGCTGTTTCTGGAAGTGCAGCACTCTATATAGAGCTGAATGTAAGTGATTTGCTTATTATACTCATGTCTGTGTACCTTAGATGACGGTTTTCTGCAAACTCCTTTTTGTTGCAAATATGATAAACCATGCGTATGTTTCTCCCCCTTTTTAGTACTAAAGCTAAGGGAAGATGTCAATATAAAAGTGCAGTGACATCTCAGCGATACAGAACCATACAACTGGGGTAAGTCTGTTATTTATTTTTGACTAGTTGATTGTGGTTTCCCATTTCTTCTCAAACTGGTCAGAGTTTTGGGTGGTTTGTGCTGAGCTTTGTCCTGTTCTGGTCAGGTTGAGCCATTCAGTCTGCTGTCTCTGTGCAATGCATCCATGCTGGCAGGGATGCCTTTTGAGCCAGTGATAACTGTAGTCACAGAACACTTCATCTCTTCTGTGAAATGTTTATTTGTTAGCAATACCTAGGAATAGTAGTTTCCAGTACTGTGTTTATTAAACATGTTAGTGCTTCCCAAGGGGATTGTGTTAATTGACAACATATTATATGAAAATAGAAGTCTTGCAATTAGAACATATTGTAAATATGATGTTCTTTTCCTTTTCCTTCCCCCCCCTCAAACTGTCAATTAATCTAAGAGAAGTAAGCTCTTATGGACTACAAAGATTTGAAACAAGGTTGATTATGATTCCTTATTCTCAACTCCTCCTTCAAAGGTACGCATTTCTTTAAAGAAAAATCAGTATAACTTAAAATTGTTACAAATTTACCAATATAAAGTAAGCTGGATTTGATAATTACACCCATGAGTTTTAGCAGTATACTTTTTTGAGATGAAAATAAGACCCTAGTCCCCAAGATGTAATTGCATCTGAATCAGTAACAGAGATTTTGAAGTAGGATAAATGACATACCACTTGTTGGATCATTCCTAGTGACACAGCCCTGTGACTGTTCTGAAGTAACTAGCGCAGGCAACCCCCTGCCCCAAAGACGTGTTTCTGTACTATATACTACCAAGCCACGCATCCTCCAGCCTCTGTCATAAAAACACCAGCTCCAAGTACTGCCAAGCTTAGGGAAACGTGCAGATTTCTTTCCAATCTTATCCCAAGGCCATTATAACTGTAATGTCAAGATGTTTGCTTTCTTATAAACTCTGTTTGCATGCAAATAACTTTGACTACTCAGTATTTAAAAAAATATTTTAAATACTAATAATACATTAAAATGAAATGTAAAAGAGCTCCCAGCCTTTTTGTACCCATATATTTACCCAAAGCACTGTCCTTGATGTGATTGCTGATGTAGTAGTTGGTTTTGCCAGGAACGCAAACCATATAACTTCTTTATGCATGGGGAGGCAACATCAGATTAGGGAAGAATTCTAGGCCCATGAAGAAATGTCCTTTCTACACAAAGCAGGCTTTTCTATGGCAAATCCTTAGACACTAACAACAAAAGTCACAATTCTTCAATTAATTAAAATACTCTGTTATAATAAAGAGCACTTTATTTGCTTATTTTACAGCCTGCGAGTTGGAATAAGTGCATTTTACTGATTACATTTGCAGTTGAGTCTGATCCCAGAAAAGCTTCAAGATTTTGATCCTGGCCTGTTTCCATTGGAGATTTTTGTGCGTGATAGCAATGAAGTGGAAAGAAAACAAAAATGCTCTGGCTGTTCTGTTGTTGCTTTTCGAACAGCAATCACTGACATTCAGAGAATGAAGTGTTCCACCCCGGGGAAACTTTTCAGCTGCTCACTCCGTATCTCTTGCAATTTGAATATAGCATTCATAACTCTCATTGTCATCATCTAAGTTTTATTCCATAATCAGTCTAAGGCAGGTCCTTATTCAAAGAGAATGTTCAAAATGGCAGTTAGGATTAAAATGCACAGATTAGATTAAATACACTGAGAAAATCTTTATCTGCTGAACAGGCTCCTAGCAGCCTAGCACAAAGAAGGTTTTCATACTTTTATTTAGCTGACTGAAAATATAGTGCTACCTCCCCAAATCTTTTAAACAATACCCTGATAAGAAAAATCTGCAAATCAGTCTTTGAAATTTCCCACCTGGAAGGTGGAAAATAGATATGATTTTAAACTAACACAACACCATGTGGTGAGATCAGTGTGATCAGGGGAAATGAAGTATAGGAGGATGACTGAATTTAAGTATTTGCTTCCTAAGTCTAATGCTAAAAATCAACAATTTGGTCCAGTCAGAGGAAAGTTGTTTCAACCTCTCTCTCTCCTGCATTAAAGATGGCACTTGCTGACTTTGAGATATATTACCCTCTTTTTACAGGCCATATAATATTGTCTAATTCCAAGGCTGTCTCTATGCCAAAACGTGCACCAGTTTACTAAAAGTGTGATTTTTAAAACCACGCAATAAAATCAATGCAAAAGTTGTGTTGACATTTTTCAATTTGATATAAACCCAGTATAAAGCCAAATCTTCAACCTAAATATGAGTATATAGAGTTCCACAGCAGTTTAACAAATGGATTTTAAAACAGTTTTAAGTTAAATTACCACAAACAAACTGCTCCAAGTTGTATACAAGTCCCAAATGTACTCTGAAAATTCTCTGCAAACTTTCTTGTAGATTATATAGCAAGCTCATGAAAGTTTTAATTAAAATTCACTCATCCAGAACATCAAGATCACTACAAATCTTTTTTAAATGAGTCTATTAAACCAGTGTTCAGCTGAAAGCAGGACATTTAAACAGCTTGTTTATTGTCAGGAGGCCAGCCATTTTAAACTATGAGGAGGTTGAATGATGTAATCTTTATCTGAAGAGCCATTTTACTCTTCATTTTCCAGGTGGCTCAAACAACTGCGATGAACAAGACTGGTGGCCCCTCAGGAACAATAATGCTAACTTGAGTGTGACTGCAGGGGCAGGAAGTCCCCAAAATGTAATGCCACAAAAGTGAGGTGTAGTACTCCCACAAAGTAAAATGATACCCAATCTTCTTCTGCTAACCAAGAGGCATTAAAAAGTAGAAACCTTATTCAAAACTTCAAATACAATTCATTTGTGTTTGCTGGGGATTAGGACATCTAAAATTTATATCCTCTGGCTGGATTTCACTGTAGCTGTAGTGTATCTATATAGAGTGGAGTCTTCTTTTCTAAAAAGCCTTACAAGATTGCAAAGAACAACTCCCTTTATCATCACTACCTGATAAGCCTGTATACATGGGAGTTTCAGACATTTTGGGCTTACAGCAAAGAAACAAGCAAAGGAGATGCAAAATGAGCCATGCTGCACATCGGTTCTTTATGCAAATAAGGTGAAATGCTGCATGTTTGTATGAAGATAAAAATGCTCTTGGTACAACACAAAATTTACAATCTAGGCCTTAACTGAGACGGAGATAAGTTTGAAAAGAAAAAAAAAACCAAGCAGAATATTTCATCTTTACAGTTCCTGGTGCAAGAGAGAGAGAAAGTTGAAGAAGAGTAAATACATAGACTAATAAGAGTGCAAAAGGGAAAAAATGTGATGCTTTATGATTATTCTGATTTCAGCTGCTTGTATGCTAAAGCCTGCCGTTTGGTCGCTTCATCATTGTTTCAGCTTAAACAACAAACCTTTTGTTGTTAATTGTCCGAAAATTATCCAGTCTTTTATAAAACTGAGCCCTGATCACTGATCAGATAGGTGCTATATAAAAATGTTTCATATTTGTATTCATTCACATTTCACATTAACCTTAAATTTTGTTTAATGTTTCCTCATCTTCCCCTGTCACATGGACAAGGATGAGCGAGAGAGTAGCTAGTTTTTATTACTTCATATCCTTCATTATCTTGAATGTTTTGCTCAAGGAAAGTAGAGTTGAAAAGAGAGTTTTCCCTCTGTTTCAGGTCCCTGGCTAATCAAATGTCAATTTATTGTCTGACAGGCTTCATAGGGTTTTCCAGCAAATCTCCGGTGGATGAAGGATTTCTGTATACTGAAGTAAGTACCTTGCCAAGATATGAGTTGTACTGGGAAGTTAAGAGGCCTGGATATTGTTTATTCTTCCAGGAAGTGAATGGGGTCTGACAGCAACCTGGGGCTTATAGAGGTGTCATGTTATCGTAACACTAGTGCACAAGCTGTTTCCTTGCAACTCTTCTGGTGCGTCTGGACTTCTTATAGTAGAGGTGCTCAGCCACTGGCCTGCAAGCCACATATGGCCCATGGAACCAAGGCATCCAGCCCACAGGGCTCCCCAGGGGTGAGGAAGTTTGGTAACAGGGAAGCAGTGCTAAAGTCCCAAGCTTTGCACAGCCAGATTGTGGCCAAACTACACCCGCTCCCTCCACCCCAACCCCCTTCCTGCCTTCCTGTGCAGCTTGATTGATTCTGGGCCATGCCTCCTACCCCCCATGTGGCTGGATCAGGAATTGATCACGCCCTCTCTGTGGGCCTGGGTTGGGGTGGGCTATGCCCCTTCCACTCCATGTGTCTGGATAGAGGCCGAGCTGCTCCCTGCCCCCTTCTATGCAGCTGGATCAGGCTATGCTGTGCCCACCCCACATGCTAAATTGGCTTCACTGCCCTGATCTGGCCCACAGATAGACCAGGCAGTGCACATCTGGCCTGTGGGACAAAAAGTTTGAGCACTACTTGGCTATGGTATTTCCCAATTCAGACACACAGCCTACTCCTTTGAATTATCTTGGTCTCACCAGAGTACACTTCAAGCCACCAGAAGACTTGAACCTGTGATCTTCCAAGTTAAAACCATCACCTTTATACACCTGGAGCTAAAAAAGTTGCTCCCTTAACTGGTATCTATAGTAAACTCTCAGACTTGTACAGGGGTGAAAAAGTCTAATACTTTGCTGGGTTAGGCACCTTTCTGAGAAGGTGCTTTTTCAGTGCCTTTGCCTCAACAGAGCAATGTGCAGGAGGCTGAAGCTTCAGAGAGGCTTGCTGTGAATCTAAGGGGATGTTTTTAAAGAAATGCTTGCACTCTTCGGTTCTTAATGGTAAAAAACTTGGCCAGGTTTACTGTCCACAGACAAGCCTAAACAGTAGGAGGGACAGATCCACGTGGGTGTGGCAGCATGGTCACACCTTACTTTGGCTGTCTACTGCATATGCCATGAGCTCTGAGGTCACCATCTACTCAGCATGGTGCCTGGCCGGAGCTCCTGCTTTCATGCAGCTCCAGAACCCAGGGGGTGAATGCTGCCACTGTTCACCCTTCCTCCCTTCCCTTCCACCTTTATTAATCAGCAAGGGAGAAGAGGGGACAAACAGTGGCATTGATCAACCCTGGGACCTGGAGCTGTATGAAAGCATGGACTGAGTACTGCCACTGCTCATGCCCTCTTTTCTCCTGCTGCTGAATTCATGGAGGGGTGTAGGGAGGGGAGAGGGTGAATGTCAGCAGTACTTACCCCCTGGACTCAGGAACCGTGCAAAAGCAGGGACTCTGGTCAGACCGCACATTGACTAGTTGGTGAGCTTGGAGCTCATTGAGTTCACTGACATCCAGGATCATGTTGAGTTGGGGTGTGGCCACACCCCCTTCAGGTGTCTCCCACATGCGCAGTGAGCTCTCTTGACAGTGCAGGCAGCACGCAGTCAAAATGGGGTTGTGGCTGCACCCCCCTTTCCATGATTCTGGATCCATCCATGGCCACTAGGATCCATAACAGCCTGTACATGATGCTAGCCAGGTTATTTGAAGGCATGGTACAGACATAATATGCAATGGATGTGCCCCTAAGTCCAGTACAAATTATTAGGGGTTCCCAAGCTCCTTTTTATACACCGCTCAAAACAGTTTAATGTTTACAGCATCTGCCAATTACTAAAACATTGGTAAGTGACAGCATCCACATCCTACTTCTCACCAGTGAGTGCAGCCTTCCCATCAAATAGGGACACCTGTTTGCCAGGTCACTCTGATCTGAGTTCTTCTCTTATTAATTTGCTCTCTATCTGTTGGTCTTGGAGGCACCTCTAAGACTAACAAGGTACTTTTCCAGCACTTTTATGCAAGCCATATATGGTAAGTCTGGTTCTGTTCTTAAGCCACCTTTGGTTAATGCTGTTATCTTGACCTCTGTGCAATTTGTGTATGCACTGATTAATGGCTGTATTAATCCATACTCCAGTGAGGCCTACTATGCTGAGTCTCTATAATGCACTTTTCTAATTCTGTCCAATCCTGTCCTCCTGCAGGACAGCAAAGAGCATTCCTGGGTGGGCCTTTCCCACTTACGTTAGAGAACTAGTTAGCAAAGTGAGTGAGAAATGTAATGTGGTTGTGGTGAGGGAAGGGAAGTAGCAATAGGGGAAAAGAGATGCAGTGAATTCATATTTGCATTTCAGAGCTTCCCAGTAGAGATAATCAAGAGACTCAGTCCTGTCTTTGCCAAATGCCTGTCTCACTTAACTCCACGTCGAGAAACTCTTGAGTGTAGAGAGAAGACTTTTTATGTTTCCCAACAAATGAAAGCTCATCACTTCAGATGGCTTTATCATCTTCTTAAGATTCTGTAGTAGTTTTATAGGGTAGCTTTAGTAATTTCAAAGATTTCATAGACATTAGGGCTGGAAGAGACCTTGAAGATCATCAAGTCTAGCCCCCTGTCCCAGGGGCAGGAAGTCAGGGTCAAAGGATTCCAGCAAGATAAGCATCCAAACATTTCTTGAATGAATCCAGAGTTAGGTGCCTGCACCACTTCTGGAGGGAGTCTATTCCAGGTCTTGGGGGCTCAGACAGTAAAGAAGTTTTTCCATATGTCCAGTCATAGATTCATAGATGTTAGGGTCGGAAGGGACCTCAATAGATCATCGAGTCCGACCCCCTGCATAGGCAGGGGGTCTAGATGACTCCAGCTAGATGCTTATCTAACCTCCTCTTGAAGACCCCCAGGGTAGGGGAGAGTACCACCTCCCTTGGGAGCCCATTCCTAGTCATGGAGGAGTTTATGATCGTTGGTCCTTGTTATCTCTTGGGGTGCTCTGGTGAACAGATGTTCCCCCAGATCCTGATGCACACCCCTTATGTACTTATAAGCAGCCACCAGGTCACCCCTGAGAATCATAGTATGATAGTATCATAGTACTTAGGGTCAGAAGGGAACTAAACAGATCATCAGGTCTGACCCCCTGACCCAGGCAGGAATGGGTGCCAGGGTCATATCACCCCAGCCAAATATCTGTCCAGTCTCCTCTTGAAAACCCCCAAGGTAGGAGAGAGCACCACCTCACTTGGGAGTCCATTCCAGAGCCTGGCAGCCCTAACTGTAAAGTAATGTCTCCTGATGTCCAGCCTGAACCTTCTCTCTAACAATTTGTGGCCATTATTCCTAGTAACCCCAGGTGGTGCCCAGGTTCCTGCTGGTCCCCCCCTTTGAGTTTGTAAATGGCCACCAGATCCCCTCTCAGCCTTCTCTTGTGGAGACTGAACAGATTCGGGCCCTTTAGCATCTCTTCGTAGGGCCTGCCTTGCTGCCCCTTGACCATGTGAGTGGCCCTCCTCTGGACCCTCTCAATGCTAGCCACATCCCTCTTGAAGTGCAGCACCCAGAACTGGACGCAGTACTCCAACTGCAGCCTGACCAATGCTGCATAGAGGGGAAGGATCACCTCCCTGGACCTGCTTGTGATGCATCTGTAGATGCATGACAAGGTGCAGTTAGCCTTACTGACCACTTCCTCGCATTGGCAGCTCATGTTCATCCTGGAGTCAACAATGACTCCAAGATCCATTTCTGCCACCATTGACAAGAAGGGTGTTCCCCAGCATATAGGTGTGTTGCTGGGTCCTTCTCCCTAGATGCAGCACCTTGCACTTGAATTCCATCCTATTCTCATCCGCCCACCTCTGTAACCTGTCTAGATCCAGCTGGATTCTGTCCCTCCCCTCCAGCGTACCCATCTCACCCCACAACTTGGTGTCATCAGCGAATTTGGACACCGTGCTTTCCACACCCACATCCAGATCGCTGATAAAGATGTTGAACAGTACAGGCCCCAAATCCAAGCCCTGGGGGACTCCACTGCCCACGTCCCTCCAGGTCGAAAACAGCCTGTCCACCACCACTTTCCGGGTGCAACCATCTAGCCAATTTGCCACCCATCTGACTGTGTAGGCATCGATGCTGCAGTCACCTAGGTTTTTAAGAGAATGTGGTGAGAAACCATGTCAAAGGCCTTCTTAAAGTCCAGGAAGATGACATCCACCCCAACACCCTCATCCAGGGACTTTGTGAACTGATCATAAAAAGAAACCAAGTTAGTCAGGCAGAACTGGCCCTCAATGAACCCATGTTGGTTGCCCCTGAGCATTACCTTCCCTGCTGGGCCCTTGCAGATGTTCTCCTTGATAATTTTCAAGGAGAAACCAAGGTCTTCCCAAGGACCAAGGTAAGACTGACTGGCCTATAATTGCCAGGGTCATCCTTTCTCCCCTTCTTGTAAATGGGGACCACATTGGCCCTTTTCCAGTACTCTGGTGCGTGGCCGGAGCCCCGCTTATAGAGCCATGCCAGGGCCCTGCTATGACCCCCTCTGATAAAGATGTTGAACAGTACAGGCCCCAAATCCAAGCCCTGGGGGACTCCACTGCCCACGTCCCTCCAGGTCGAAAACAGCCTGTCCACCACCACTTTCCGGGTGCAACCATCTAGCCAATTTGCCACCCATCTGACTGTGTAGGCATCGATGCTGCAGTCACCTAGGTTTTTAAGAGAATGTGGTGAGAAACCATGTCAAAGGCCTTCTTAAAGTCCAGGAAGATGACATCCACCCCAACACCCTCATCCAGGGACTTTGTGAACTGATCATAAAAAGAAACCAAGTTAGTCAGGCAGAACTGGCCCTCAATGAACCCATGTTGGTTGCCCCTGAGCATTACCTTCCCTGCTGGGCCCTTGCAGATGTTCTCCTTGATAATTTTCAAGGAGAAGACTGGCCTATAATTGCCAGCATCCTCTTTTCTCCCCTTTTTT